TTTTTAAAAAATTTTTTTCATTTTTAAGTGAATTTCCTCCTCTGAAAAACCTTTAAAGGAGTAAATCTGTCCGTTGTCAGTTTTTCCCCCCGGGGTTTGGGGGTGTTTTTTAACCCGGGGGGGGGGGGGGGGGATTACTCCCATACATTACCTATGCGGGTATGTGCCGCCCAACGGGGTCGTGATTTTGAAGCTCCTGATTTAGAACGGGGTATCCATTTCAGAGGCGTTTTCTAGAACGGAGGAGGGGTACAATATTTCGAACACACGAAAGCTCCAGTGTTGTAAGCAGCCATTTGAAGTTATTCAAGGACAGATTGCTTTCAAAAATACGGTTCAATGCGTTAACAAGCAAACTGTTGTACTCTTGTTGCACCCTGTGTTTTAGCGAGCAGGGCGGGTGTATTTTGGCGCAAGCCGTGAGTGCTGACTCCGCCATCTTGGATAAATAGGCGCGCAAAAGTCTGGAACGAGTCCATAATGTACCCGAGGGAGACGGAGACGGGCTCAAAAGAAAGGAACGGGGGAGGAGAAGGAAACTCGTTAGCTTACGAGCGTGGTTCTGTGCGTGGTGAGAGATTTTGCGTCATAGTAAACCGCATTGTATCCACATGCACAGGAAACGTACTCCGGATGATTATGAAGAAGCATTTATTTGCTGTATGAGTCAAACAAATAAAGAATAAATATCTTTTCAAAAAACACAGGGCTATTTTAATTTGCAAACTTTCTAGAACGGAGTATAAAAAATTGGCCCATTTCTAGAACGGGGTATCAGTTTTAGGGCGAATTCCATCCTCGGAGACCTAGGGGCAGTCAGTCGGGTCGGGAGAAAAGGCGGGACGAAAGTTTTCAAGTACGGGCGAAAGAACCCCTGGGTACCGACTCTCACCGAGTTATTTCCAAAAATTCAAGCGGATGCCGACTCCTGATTGGGCACAAAAAATGCTTTGTATTATTGTGCCCAATCAGCAATTGAATGCGCAAAGCAAATTAAAAATATAATTCACTGCGCATAACATTTTACTTCGTGCCTGCAAACATGAAATGCGTATCTGAGTTTCGTTGATAGCGACAATCCTGGTTTGTTTATAGCAGTGAAGAAGAGAATTGCAGGTAAAGTTTGAGAAGTTTCTACCAAGACAACGAGCCTTGACAAAGAAAGTATTGCATTGCCTTCGTTGTGGGAAACTGAAAGGAGGAGTAATGGTTAGTTAGCTCTTGCTGTTGCTCCTTGCTGCGATTGATACTGTACTTGTATGGCGTTATTAATTAGTCTAATCAGTTTTTCTGATTCCTCTGGATATTCGTAGGAAAAGAGTAGTAGTAGTAGGAAAGGAAATCAAGCTTAGACTTCATTACAGAAATGATATTGCAGTGTGCTTTTAATTTATTGTATTTTCTGCTGAAAGAACATCTCCTTTGCTATACTAACGTCAAGATAATATTTTGTTATATGCCTTCATTTCATTAGACCACTGATGACATCGCACAAAGCCAGAACTGAATTGCTTATGAATCATTTTGGGCTGCATGCAAAAGGCAATTTTTTAATTGTGTAAAGATGATAGAGCAAGTACTATTTCCAAACTACGTTTTCTTCCACTTAATTAATGCTTAAATCATGCTTAGATAATTCGGAGGCCTTCTTTTAATTTTTAATTTAACAGTAAGAATTGGGCTGTGAAAAGAAAGGCTATGTGGCCGACTCGTTACAAATGTTTTGCAAGAAGATATTCTCATCCTAACAGTCCTTGCTTGGCCTCCAGTCATGTGGAATTTAGACAAAGAGAAACAAGGGGCTCTGGGTTTATTTATAACTGATGAACAGTTAACAAAGAAGCAGCTGTTGCACAATTTTTCTTGATAAATAATTATGTTATCTGATCACTACATAAGGTAGCACAATGTTCTCAACCTTTTTGGTTTAACAATTCTAAAATACAAGAAAACTTAACTGTTTATAATTAGGCATACATTATGTGAAAACTGGTCTAGATTTTTCGACGGTGTTAGGGACAACTGAGGTGTTAATAAATAAAATGATAAATGAACAACAGCCTAGAGTAGTCTATTTTGTATCATACCGGGGTAAGTAATTGTTGATGATGACAACTGGATTTTGCAGTATGTCACCTTTGATAGGGTGGGTAACATTATAGCTTGATCAACAGTAATATCATAGTTAGTCGCCAATCATAACCGCACCTGCTCTCCATCCCTCCTTGAGCTTGCACACAGCACTGGCTTACTTAAGCATAGAGCATCTTAGTTTACTTGGTTATTGACAAATAATGATGAGCCAAATTAAAACTTGCTTCCACTGGTCAATGATTTAGTTCTGGTAGAACTTTTTCCTTGTTGGAGGCCTCGTGTTATAACACAAAATAATGAATTTTAAGGGAACTAAAAAATTATGCATTATCAAAACCTGTGAGCAGATATTATACTTTAACTCTATAAAGCACCACATTCAGTTTCAATACAACTGAGGAGGGTGGGGATTGGGGGTGGGGCTCTACCCCCCAAAAATCTGTTCACATTCACCCCGCAGTACGCTTCTTGCCTTGCCAAATTTTGACCAAACTATGTGATTTTCACCATCCTATTTCAGGCCTGATCCAAAGTTCTATCCCCAGTTTCAAAGCTTGCAGGTCTTGCACTCCAGTCTCAAAACTTGATTTGAGCAGCTACCCAAGGAAATGCTTTTGGGTTGTGTGTTACTCAAAGTGTACTTCTTAACGGGGGATCTCTTAAAGCATACAGTCTATATACAATGCATATATCACTCTACGTACATTTCACTGTTCCAGATAAGAAAGTACATCTATATAGCTTATGGTAACCCGTTCTAGGCATTCAGATAGTGAGAAGTAGAGCATTAAAAAAAAGCAGGTTTTTTTTTTAGTTTTGTTCCCTTTGCACCTTCCCCAATACCTGAATGTCTGGCACAGGCTACCTTAAACTACTGCTTTTAAGCCTCTCTCAACTTATAAGCCCCCCAGTTATAGGCCCATTTACCAGTGAACAAGAAAAAATGTCCCCCTGGTTGTA